TTGCTATTTTAATAGGGCTTTTTGCAAGTGGGGACTGGAAGAATTTGAATGCAGAAATGGAGAAGTTTAAACCTGGGAAAGTAGCTTATGTCATGAACTTGGTCGGGACAGCAGTTTCTTGGCAGGCTTTTACTATTGGTTGTACTGGGTTGATATTTAAGGTTTCTTCATTGTTTTCGAATGTGATTAGTATGCTAGGTTTGCCTATTGCTCCAGTTCTTGCAGTGATTTTTCTTCATGAAAAGATGACTGGATTGACGGGTATGGCAATGGTGTTGGCTATGTGGGGTTTTGTTTCTTATATGTATCAACACTATCTCGATGATCTGAAGACGAAGGCTGAAAATAAACCTCCCAATGATGTTTCTGAAGTTCCCCTGACCAAAACTAATTAGCTACTTCTCATGCTATAGCCATGAGTGGAATTGAGGAGTTAAGCGTCGCACGATACCTTGCAGAGACATGCTTGCTACTGGATATGTTTATATTTTAGTTCAGATTGCAAAAGCTGGTAGCAGAGAAAGTAGAGCTCATGTCCAAGATAACAAGTTCAATACTTGGCATGGAAGGAAACTCTCTGTTTGTTTGTTCATCGCTTAAAAAGCGACTTTTTTCTGCTTCTTTTGACAGAATATCATTTAAGCAGGGCCAGAGATCCTCACTTGATAATCTGCCATTTTGTACAGATAATGGAAAAAAAAAAAAGTACTTATTTGCCTTCCACTCTTCACAGCTAAATAGTGGTATTAATTGGGTTTAGGCTGTTACAGTGAATAGGCCCATTTTTCTAGGAAGACTAAGTTGGGCCTTTTTAGCTATGCTATGGTTTGCACAGGCCTTAACAGAGAAATGAGCCAAGAACAAAAATGAAAAGAGACCTGGCTCAGTGCTCCACCTGAGTACTTGTTTGAAAGAAATATAAAGTTGTTAAAATTATAAATTGATCAAAAAGAGACTTCCATGCTTGATTCATATTTTTGTTCTTTACTTTGTACATTTCCCTCGTAAATCCCTTAATGTTGTGAATCAATTATGAGAAAAAGATGTAGAAACATTTACGTATTATTTGCTAAAGCATTTTTTATGTGGCAAATGTGTTATTTTTAATTTTCTGGAACCTGAGTAATTTGTTCTTGACAGCATTTCATTTTTTATATTATTTACGGGGATTCAACTAGGATGTATACATAACTGTTAATGGTTAATACCTCGCATCGACTAAAGATGATGACAATACTCAAACTTGAACTATTCTTCAATCAAAGTCGGGCATTTTTAAGATAGAATTTCAAGACATACCCTGTTTGGTAGAAATTAAAATCTAGATTTTAATTTAAGTCAAAATTAATAATTAATTTTAATCACATATTTTATGGGTCTCATAACTTTTCAACCACGTTTTTCATCAATTTCTATTAAAATCTGATTTTAATCTCTATCGTGGCTCAATAAGATAACTTATGAGTTAAAGAAGCCCACCCAACAAAAAAAAAAGAAAAAAAGAGGCCATCTTTCAGTTAGTGTAAAATAGAATACTTATTACTGTAAAAAACAAAATTCTTGATCAATGGAGCCTTGTGCAAGTGTTTGTCTTCTAGTGTGTTCGAATTGCGTTGAATTTTATTCAGAAAATTTGCAATTCGATCAAGAAAGTCACTTTAACCTGCAATATTAAACAAAACAGAATAAACGAGAGAATCCAAAAAATGAAAACAACAAAAAAAAAAAAGTTTGATATGAACAAAGATGGCATCGTCTGTTCTTCAATTTGCGGCCAAATTGCCAAAGGCCTGCACTATTGATGTGGACATAAAGATGTGCCATATTTTGGCTTCCAATGCACAATATATTATGTTGCATACAATGGTGACAAAATGCAATTCAAACAAGTTGTACTGGAACGGGAATGGCGATAAATAAATATTGCAGTATCTCATTATTTATGTCGCTTCATCCTTAAAAAAATAATATTATTACGAAGAGTAGTTGGAGCTCTTACATGTCGTTATTGTTTTCTTATTTATCCCATATCAAATTATATCCTTAAAATGTCTACACAAGATGGTAGCTCGAATGAACAAGATTGTTGTTTCGAGCTTCAAAACGGATCATATTGCTTGTTTTAAGCTTCAAAATTGATGCAGTCTAATCCTACAACTAAAATAAGTAAGTCGAGCCTTGTTATCTTTTAATTATTTTTCGTACACTTTTATTAGGGAGCGTTTAGTTTTTAATTATGTATTAGGATTTTTAATATTAGTCATTATCTAGATTTCAGCCATTTCGTTAAATAAGGGTTGTAGGCTTTAATGACATTTAGTTTTTTTTTTATTTTTTTGAATTGAAATAAAAATTAATTATTTAGATTTTCTTCACTTTTTAATTTAAAATAGTATTCTTGCATGAATCGATTATTTTTTAATCAAATCGAATATTCGATATTTTTGCAAAAAATTAAAGTATTTTTATATTTTTTTTGTTAGTCACAATTATTGCTTTCATCTACCTCAAGTTTTAATTTAAAAGGTCAATAATTTAAGAGGAATCCATGTCTGACCCTTGATACCCTTCTAAGGATGATGATCCTTATCCTGGTTTGTTTATTTGAAGCCCACTTGCAATCGCTTATGATTGACAGCAAGTGAATAACAACACAAACAAACAAACAAGGAAACGTGGATATTTAAGACTCTGGACAAGTTGAATCTTTGAAAGACTCTGGACATGTAGAAGACCGCTTTCAGGGTCAAGTTGTTTTCACACCATTCTTTCCTAGACAGACAGACAGTATTTTCCATGGGAGAAGCTCCAGAACTGCTCTCAGGTATCACAGGTGAGCAAGTTGTTATTCAGATTTAATTTCCTCAAAATTTTTTTTTTTTTTTTAATATCATAAACGGTAGCTATGTTGGCCACATTTTCTAGTTACATGTACTAAGAGTTTGTGTTGTTAGGTTGTCAAACTGAATTATTGTAGTTGTGAGGAGTTTATATGTGGATCGATATTTGTTAAGGTTTTGTAATTATCATTAAAGAGAAACAAGTAAACATTTTTTCATAATTATTATTGTAGCAGAAGATGACCTAGTCTCACATAGACGAACGTGTTCTTGTGTCTCTATTTTCTTTATGCAATTTTGTTAATCTAGATAATATTATTCAGGGTTTTTAATTCTTAACACGTGTTTCACCAGGTGGTGCTGATGAAAATGCTGAACAAGTAATTTCACCAGAAGACATAAACCAGAATCCTCAAAATCCTTTCTTCCATTGCCTTAAGCAATACAAATGGTGGCTTCAAATGGCCATTTTCACCCTCTTCGTCCTTGCTGGACAGTCACTGGGCATCCTCTTGGGTAGATTGTATTACAACAATGGCGGAAACAGTAATTGGATGGCTACATTTGTACAATGTGCAGGATTTCCAATTATCCTACCATTTCTATGCATCCCAAAATCAAAAGATTCAAACCCAGAAATCAACAGAAAAAACCCTTCCACCTTAATCCTTGCTTTAGTTTACATTTCCCTTGGAATATTTCTTGCAGCAGTTTGTATGCTGTACACAATTGGGCTAAAATGTCTCCCAGTTACTACCTATACTTTAATTGGTGCTAGCCAATTGGGATTCATTGCCCTTTTCTCTTATTTCCTCAATAGACAGAAGTTTACTCCTTATATACTGAATTCTTTAGTGCTTCTCACAATTTCCTCCGTACTTCTTGTATTCCAAAATGATTCAGATGACTCGAAAAAAACCACTAAAGCAAAGTACGTATTAGGCTTCGTATGCACTATTGCTGCATCTGCCGGTTATGCATTAATGCTGTCTATAACCCAGCTTGCCTTTCAGAAGATCATTAAACGTGAAACCATAAGGGCGATAATTGACATGTCACTCTATCAGAATATAGTAGCAACGTTTGCTATTTTAATAGGGCTTTTTGCAAGTGGGGACTGGAAGAATTTGAATGCAGAAATGGAGAAGTTTAAACCTGGGAAAGTAGCTTATGTCATGAACTTGGTCGGGACAGCAGTTTCTTGGCAGGCTTTTACTATTGGTTGTACTGGGTTGATATTTAAGGTTTCTTCATTGTTTTCGAATGTGATTAGTATGCTAGGTTTGCCTATTGCTCCAGTTCTTGCAGTGATTTTTCTTCACGAAAAGATGACTGGATTGACGGGTATGGCAATGGTGTTGGCTATGTGGGGTTTTGTTTCTTATATGTATCAACACTATCTCGATGATCTGAAGACGAAGGCTGAAAATAAACCTCCCAATGATGTTTCTGAAGTTCCCCTGACCAAAACTACTTAGCTACTTCTCATGCTATAGCCATGAGTGGAATTGAGGAGTTAAGCGTCGCACGATACCTTGCAGAGACATGCTTGCTACTGGATATGTTTATATTTTAGTTCAGATTGCAAAAGCTGGTAGCAGAGAAAGTAGAGCTCATGTCCAAGATAACAAGTTCAATACTTGGCATGGAAGGAAACTCTCTGTTTGTTTGTTCATCGCTTAAAAAGCGACTTTTTTCTGCTTCTTTTGACAGAATATCATTTAAGCAGGGCCAGAGATCCTCACTTGATAATCTGCCATTTTGTACAGATAATGGAAAAAAAAAAAAAAAAATAGTACTTATTTGCCTTCCACTCTTCGCAGTCTCGCAGCTAAATAGCGGTATTAAATTGAGTTGGGCTGTTACAGTGAATAGGCCCATTTTTCTAGGAAGACCAGGTTGGGCCTTTTAGCTATGCTATGGTTTTGCACAGGCCTTAACAGAGAAACGTAGCCAAGAACGAAAATGAAGAAGACTTGGCTCAGTGCTCCACCTGAGTACTTGTTTGAAAGAAATATAAAGTTGTTAAAATTATAAATTGATCAAAAAGAGTGATACATAAGTTGATGATAATTGTGGATCACATGAATAAAGGTCCTGTGTATCCTTCCTGGATAAGATATAACAAGTGACGTTCAAAAAATTTATTTTTCATGTTTTCTTGTTATCTTCCCAACATTTTAACCACACGTTCTCAAAAATCACTTTTCAAAAATTCTTGCCCATACAAGGACTAATGGGTTGTTTAACAAAACTTTTGATAAAGAATTTAGCAGACTAGTTAAAGAGTAATGCTATTTGTACATTATCGTGTATATATATAACTTCATCTTTCATGTTATTTATCTGTGCATCATTATGTATACAAATAACGTTACTCTAATAAAAATTGGTGAATATATGATTTAAAAGTTGATAAATCTTTTAAATCTCTAAATATGTGTGACTAAAATTAAACATCAATTTTTTTAAGTTATCCCAAACAATCACCCAACATATATATAACTCATTTTATTGATGCGGAATTACGAGTAAAACTTCAGAGTCCAATCTTGTCACATTCATGGCACAGTTATTAATGCATAACTAAGTGACGTGCGTGGCCGACTTTGTTTACTTCAATGTTCAATCATTCATGTGAAGAAAGGATAACGAAAAGTGATTGATTTTTGATAATGAAGTCAATTGCGTAGTTACAATAATGATTATGCTGTGTTGTCAAAAAAGATTAGTTGAATAAATTATTATTTTTAATTGTCCAATGACACAATGTAAATGATAATGTAAGAAATTATGTACGAAAGCATGATTATTACAAGGGATAATTGCAGCAGCGGTCCCAAACCTTTCAGATTTTTGCGCACTTTACCCTAACCTTTGATTTGCACTAGCCACAGTCCCAAACCTTTAAAAAACTCGCACCTACAGTCCAAATAGATGATTTCCGTTAAGTTGACCATTAGTCAACTAAAAAAAGTAGATGTTGACCAATTTTGACCTAATTAAAAAGGGTAAAGTAGTAACTTTGTCATTTATCCCATAAAATAATTAAAAAAATTAAAAAAAAAATGAAGAAAGACACCCCACCCAAATTATCCACCTCACGCCACCACACTCCGACAGTCTCTACACCTTTCACCACCGCAGTCTACAACTTTCACCACCCCAACAAATCTCGCCGTCGATCAAGCACACAATTACAGACATCTTCCCTAAACGCCAGATACTGCCATCTTCCCTAAACCAGTCGCGCCGCCGGACCTACCTCTAGCCCCGACAACATCAAAACCATCTCCTGCACCACCACCAAATCACACACATCTCTACTGTACTTCAATCGCGCCACCACCAATTCCGTGTTTGGCCCATCTTCTCCAGTCTCTTAAATTAACCACAACCTTCCGTTGGGTACCCTGTTACTATTACCATCCACACGCATTGGGCACTCCTCCTTTCCCTACACCACCATCTCCATCAGGGCCAAGATTTCCTCTACCATTTATACACAATCAAACCAGATTTCCTTCTCCCATTTATACCCACATGTTTAACAAAACTTTTGATAAAGAGTTTAGCAGACTAATTAAAGAGTAATGCTATTTGTACATTATCGTGTATATATATATATATATATATATATATAACTTTATCTTTCATGTTATTTATCTGTGCATCATTATGTATACAAATAACGTTACTCTAATAAAAATTGATGAATATATGATTTAAAAGTTGATAAATCTTTTAAATCTCTAAATATATGTGACTAAAATTAAACATCAATCTTTTTAAGTTATCCCAAACAATCACCCAACATATATATAAGACTCATTTTATTGATGCGGAATTACAAGTAAAACTTCAGAGTCCAATCTTGTCACATTTATGGCACAGTTATTAATGCATAACTAAGTGACGTGCGTGGCCGACTTTGTTTACTTCAATGTTCAATCATCCATGTAAAGAAAGGATGACGAAAAGTGATTGATTTTTGATAGTGAAGTCAATTGCGTAGATACAATAATGATTATGCTGTGTTGTTATTTTTTTAAAGGATGATGCTAGTGGTACATAAGCATCTATATAAGGGTCTACATAATGTTGACGTGGCATGTGATCCACCTTTAATTCAAATATGACACTTACACATCAAGGACCGGATGATTGCCACTTCATCATTATGTAGAGTTTTATGTAGAAATTTATGTACCACTAGCATTATCCTTTTTTAAATGGTCCAATGACATAATGTAAATGATAATGTAAGAGATGATGTACCAAAGCATGATTATTACAATAAAGAAAGTGATGACAAACTTGAGAGTGAAGCTCTCTTTATGGAATGAAATAATTGGATGGAAATTCTCGTGTTGGACTGTCTAGCAAACATGTCTGGCAAACAATACATATGTTCGTCACTATATTTTATTTAATGTGACTTTAACTCGACTTAACTTTTCGTTAACTTTGACACACTCGAGTTCGACCTTCTTTACACGAGCTCGACCTCTTAACTCAACTACCTCATGGCCTGGTTAACTAAAGCAGTAAATTGTGCTAAGTTGGGTTGGTCCTTCTCAAAGCACATTATTTGTGGATACAGTACGGCTGCAGTTTCTTCTACATGAACAGCCATTTCATGTAGAAGAAATAAACGTTGAAAAGCAGCCCCCGAGCATAGTTTGGTGGTGCAAAGGATAAAAGTGGGGTAGTCTCAACTGAGCTGGTAGCCGCAATACGAGGGTTCGAATTCTGTCTCTTACAAGGTATGAAATTAGACTTTTTGTGGGTACAAGTATGTCAGCTCTTCTACACTTGCCTACTGAGGCACATCTCACGATTTACCTTCTTCACAATGTTCTAGGGGCGGGACGGTTGGGGACATCAAGGTTGGGATTCAATCTTTTTTTAATAACCAATGTTGAAAAGTAGTGAGTAGTCAACATCAAATAAAGAAATTAGGAATCCAAGCACTAGGACAAATTAATACATTGACAGGACTTTAAAGAACACGTACCGTCAAATTAAAATAATATCTAGTTACAACACGTAGTTCTAAGTGATAATTTAGCGGATTAAAATTTGATTTTAATTCAAGTTAGAGTCAAATAATCAATATTCACTACATCTTTCACAAATCTCACAATTTTTCAACCACATATTTCAAAAATTTCTATTATAATCTACTAAAAATCTAATTTTAATCCCCACCAAACACCCTTTTAATTAAATGAAGGAATACGAGACTCTTCGACATTATTTTTGAAAAGTTAAAAATTGATTTTGAACATATTTAATAATTTTTTAAAAGTATTTTGTCTGATTAGATGAACTTTTAATAGAAGCCAACCAAAAATAACTTTTAAGCCATTTTATCCAATAAATTTGTTAAAGACATTTCGAAAGTATGCTGCCGGCTGCTTAAATTGTAATTTAAAAACTCCGGAGCAAGCACTAATGTTATCTCTCTCTTTATAAACTACTCTCCTTTCTATGAGTATTTGTATCCTCAAGTTACTTTTGCCAAAGTCTTCAGTTTTCTAAATCATCCCGTTGGATTTTAACTTCATAATCTGCCATGGGAGAAGCTCAACAACTGCCACCAGGTACCATACTCAGATTGGATTCACTTTGGAAAGAATTTGGTCCGTATATTTTAATTGGAATTTTGGAAAAAATTCCTTCTCTTTTGTTTACTTGCTCCAACTACAAGACTAACTTTAAGGCCTATTTATGGTTGCTTGATTTAGATGCTCAGAATCATTGATTGCTGGAATACGTTTCACAATTGTGTGAATTTTAGGGCGATGTGTAATTTTTTTTTGGAAAAAGCCATTAGTACATAAAAATGTTGACGAATTTATACGGACGTTGACGTGGCGATGCATGATTGGCCTTTTTTGCTTTCTCCATCTTTCAATGATTCTGTGGCACGTGTTGTCTGTCAAAATTTTCTATCAAAATTTGGTGTAGTTGTAGCATGATTGTTTTTTTTTTCTTTTTCTACTGGGGTCCAGCTAGGGGCACGATATAGCGAACAACAGATCTGGACTCCTAATGTTGTCCTAACTTGTTACACTGCGACAGTAAATTTGGCACTGAAATTCAGCCATCGAAACTTTATGCTATAAGAGTGTTTTGGCATAGAGTAATGTTATTCATCCATAGTGTTGATGATTAGCAGTCTATGCAGCAGTGAGATAACTGTTACATTTTCCTTTAAAATTGGGATGCATTTTAATTCATCGAAGAATGTGGTAGTTATCCTAGTGACACATAAATGGCTGATCATCAAGACCATTGATGGATATCACCATTATTGAGGATAGTGTATTAGAAAAATCTGTTTTCTGCTCTCGAAGCACTGCTGATTATAGGGTAAATCAACGTAGGGGGTTGTTCTATCCGCATCGGCTGGATAAGTAGGAAGTAGTTCATCATCCCCTCTACGAGCAAAAGAGTGCTTCTCATCAAATGAATCTGCCTTAGGCATTCACAGGGTTACAAAACGTTGATATTTTAGAGTACAGTGTGTTAAGTTCTATTTTCCAATAAACTATCTATTCTCTGTAGGAGGAAATATACTAATTGTTCAATGTTATTTCCAGGACGGAGAGTTGAAGTTCAGTCGACAGAAGATGTAAACATTGACCCTAAAACTTCTTCCTTCCAATGGCTTAGACGATATAGATGGTGGCTTCAGATGGCCATCTATACGCTATTTGTCCTTGGGGGGCAGTCAACTGGCACACTCTTGGGTAGACTGTATTACGACAATGGCGGAAAAAGCAATTGGATGGCTACATTAGTGCAATGTGCAGGATTTCCAGTTCTCATCCCATTTCTGTTCACCTCCAATTCTAAAAATCCAAATGCAGAATTTGTTACGAAGAAGCCTTCTATATTGATTCTTGCTTCAATTTATGTTTCACTTGGAATTTTTCTAGCAGCAGATTGTGTGACTTACTCAATTGGGCTGCAATACATTCCAGTTACAACACATACGCTAATTGTTGCTACTCATTTGGGATTCAATGCCCTTTTCTCTTATTTCCTCAATGGACAGAAGTTTACTCCTTATATTCTCAACTCTTTAGTCCTCCTCACCATTTCGTCGACACTTCTTGTATTCCGAAAGGACTCTGGAGACTCAAACAAAACCTCGAAAGCAAAGTATGCATTAGGCTTCATATGCACCATTGTTGCAGCTGCTTGTTATGCCTTAATTCTCTCGCTAACGCAGCTGTCCTTTCAGAAGATCATCAAACAAGAAACTCTAAAAGCTATACTAAATATGTCGATCTATCAGAATCTAGTTGCATCACTCGTCATTCTAATAGGGCTTTTCGCAAGTGGAGACTGGAAGAATTTGAACGAAGAAATGGTCACGTTTAAAACCGGGAAAGTATCCTATGTTATGAACTTGTTTTGGACATCAGTTGCTTGGCAAGCTTTCGCTGTTGGTTCAATAGGGTTGATATTCAAGGTTTCTTCATTGTTCGCGGGTATAATTAGCATATTAGGTCTGCCTATTGCTCCGGTTCTTGCCGTGATTTTTCTCCATGACAACATGACTGGATTAAAGGCCATAGCTATGGTGTTGGCTATGTGGGGTTTTGTGTCTTATATGTATCAACATTATCTTGATGATTTGAAGACAAAGACCAAAAGGACTGAGGACGAAATTTCAGTCACTGAAAGAGGTTAAGTCCTAGTAGAAGACAGAAGAAGCTCATGACAATTACAGGAATGCTAAATTATACTTACTGTCAAATCCAACATATGGAGATTTAGGTAATTATGAATGAAGGGTTATTTCTAATTTTGCTTCCTTCATAATTTTCTTATTGCCAGCTGAATGGCAGTATAAGGTTCCTCGTGAAGAAAGCTCATCCTATACCTCAAAGTCTACAGGATACATACATGTTTACACTAGAGCTGGAGACGAAGTACAGTTATAATAAGAGGTCAAAAGCTCGCACTCGATAGTATTTAACCCGTCAATTAAGCATATATTAATACCCTTATTCTAGAATTACCATTAACCCCACAATCAAAAGTTGATCAAGTGATAAGATTGTGCGGTCTTAAGTAGAACTCCACTAAAATAATTAATCCAACTACAAATGCATTTTTAATTAAATAAAATCAAGTGAAGAAGAAATTCCGAGCCGACGAACACTTATCAAGATGACATAATTGACACGAGGAATATAATCAGGGGTGTCCAAAAGTCCCGAACCGAGCAAAGTCGAGCGGTTCTTCATAAGTTAAATACCCAAACGGGTACCCGAATCGAGAACCGATGGGTTTGGGTCGGGTCTCTGGTCTAGACCAAGAACCGAAAAATCGAATAAGAACCGAAACTAAATAATTTTTATT